TTTTGATATTTCAGCCTTTAAGGTTTTAATCACAGTATTTGCGTCGACTGATAAGATACAGTGTTATCTTAACATCAGTTTTCTGGACCAGGCTGAATGTAACCCACTCTCTTCTGTGCATTAATTACAGAGACAAAGAGTATCACATGAAAGAAATGCACAGCACTGTAGGGCCCAAGCTCTCTGATGCACCAGGTTTTACAGCCAGACACCAGGGGATTTGTTTCGCTTTTGATTGGAGGTTTAATGCTTTTAGCTGAGTTCAATAGAGGCCAGTGTTATTAAACCCCAGAAAGCAGTGCGTGTCATGTTCGAGTTTTCTACCAGTCTTTGATCCAATAAAGGAAGGCCAGTCTCAGATTGTATATTACACTGTGCCATATGAGGAAAAAAGGTCCCAGGTCCATATGTGTTATAAGTGCACAGTTTTTTTGTATTAAATTGATCTTAATCATACAATAAGTTAGAGGTTATTTTTATAGCTACATTTCTTGCGACTAAAATGATTGTACATAGTGTGAATACAATCCAAATAATAAAGAACAACCTAAGTGTAAAATGCTTCTGTTTGATTTTATCCTGCATGCTGTGTGTGTGAGAGTCAACTACAGTTGATTAGGTGAGCAGAGGTGATTGATTATATCAATCAGTGCAGCATCCCTGTGGTGTAGTCTTTTCTTGCAGCTGTGTGGGACGAAAATGAAGAAACTAGGGCTGTAATTATAAAACGCCCCCAACCCCATTATTCAGATATGCTCCCCAATATATTGATAAACATATAAATAAATAAAAACCTGGCTATGCTAGAACAGGGAACCACACACAACCATCCAAAGTAAACATTAGCAGATGTAATCACAGCCATAAATCAAACAAATTGCTATTTTTATTACTGCTGGTTCCTGTACAATGTTGCCCTGCAGTTCTGCAATGTGGTTTGTCCAAGTGGTGTAGCCGTATCCCAGCAAAAGCAATTGCTCATTAGAGTGCTACACTTTTATTTTTTTTTTGACAAAAAGTCAATGGGATTTTTCCATTGGATTTTGGATCATTGCAGAAAATAATCCAAACAATTGTTTTTTTAAGTGTACATGCTAAAGCTAGATATGAAAATCTAACAGACTTTAAATGAGCTACACTTACAGTCGCACGACTTCAACATCACCACAAGGCTGTGAAGCCACTGATGCAAAAGTTAGCGTTGCCTTTATGCTCTTGTTAAAAAGTTAGCTAGCTAACTTTACCAACAGTAGGCCTATATCTCTTACTTTTGCCTATATTTTAACAATTTATTTCACTACTTTCAGCTATTTAACAATCCAATTGTCTTTATTAGCCTGCTTTTAGCTAGCTGTTTTTGTACTTTATAGTGCTGCAGGTATTTATTTATTTTTTGTGGGTCCATGTCATTGGTTCGACAGCTCATCGGTTCGACATCCCATTAGTCCGACTGTCCGCGGTGCTGAACGGCTCGCGGCGAGCGTATGGTGTGCTGCGACCGGCTTGAGGCAGAGAGGGTCACAGCTTATGTGTTTGTCACTTTCTTTTTCATTTTAACCCACACCATGATCTTTTCCTGACCCTAACCAAGTGGTTTTTGTGCCTTAACCTAACCAGACCTTAACCACAGGGCATCATGATGATTTAGGAACGGACTTCGGAACAATGAGTTTAATATGGTCAGAACCATGGGATGTCGAACCAATGGGCAGTTCCCATTTTTTGTATGGGCCGACGCAGAAGTTAGCGTTGCTGTTGTTCCCTTATCAAAAAGCCGACAGGATTTTCCCATTGAATTTGGAATTAGTGCAGAAAATAAGCCAATCTTAACAAATTAACACAATTTTTATGATATTTGAAGTACAAAGGCAGTTCCCAGAATTAAAGAGCTAACGTAGGCTACAAAGAAACTACACGACAGATGCATGACTTTAGGCTACATCACCACCACAATGAGGCTGTAAAGCCGTCTTCGGCGTGATGACGTTCTGTAGTTTCATTTAGTCACGTTAGCAACTGTCTTTCTTTTTAAGATTGTTTTTTTTTGGGGGGGGGGGGGTCTTATCTTTAATGATAGGACAGCATGGTGTGAGGGGGGGAGCAAGGACTGAGCCTTTGTACATGGGCCGCCTACTCTATCCACGAAGCCACCGACATCCCCAGCAACTGTCTTTTTTAAGACACGTAAATGCTTCGAAATTTACAAGTGGTCTATTTACTGACATATTTTATGTCGTAGAATAAACGTAAAAGTGTCTTAAGCTTGTGTCAACCACAGACCTTATTTCCGGCATCTAACGAAAAAAAAACTATTAAAAAATGCTACAATGCTAACAGCTAATGCTGTGGGTAAGTACAATTATTGTCCAAAACTCTTAAACTGTCTTTTTTTCATTACTTTCAATTCATTAAAAAGTGGAAAATAACAATGTGCCAATCATTTATGTTGCACTGCATTTGTAATTTACATATGTATTTCTGTAATAGCAGCTTTCATTTATTGCAAATTCATATACTGTATAACTGTTCCTGCTTATCATAAATAATATCACAGGGAATGAGTTCTTAATTTTTTAATGTCTTAGCAGGTGAAAGGACCTCCAAACCCCGCAGCAGATTTGGTCCTCCCCAGCGTTGACTCCATGGCTACTGCCTTCCGAGAAACAAAGCGTGGAGAGTGTCACTGGATCTATTCTGAAAGTGGTGATGAGATCATGTTGAGCAACTGTACCCTGCAGCCATTCCAGCACCAGACCCTCAGGCATTCGTGAAAAAATCTTACTGCGTACGTGGGTACAAACAGCGACAAGGTGGATCACACATCTACTACTTTCCTTTTTTGGCCCAGAGCCCACTGAGGCAGGGGTCATTGTGGGGAAACAGAGCGGTCATGGTCTTGTGGTTTGACATCAGGGGCATGTGAGAGTCATGCAGCTGAAGGGTAGGAGCCTTAAGGGAGTCCTAATAATAGACAGTAAACTTGTGTTGGCTTTTTTATGTTGCACATATAACACGTAGCACATACACTTAGTGCTGTACTTAATTTTGATACACTTGTACCAAATTTTCCTCACTACATACTACACATATACTGTCTGTCAATTCCTGTGTTTAACTCACTCGGCAGCACTTTGTTCGTACATGTTTGAGTGTCTGAAGGCTATGTAGTGTCATTTATTATCTGCTTTGCTTTAATGTTTGGTCATTTAGAAGTTCACCATAGTACGCTATATACTGCACTTGTAATAAGCTAAAACTAAACCATCCACAACATTAAAATGCTGCACACACTGTGTAATCTAATAGCATACATCTCAATATATAAAATGTGACATTCTGAGTGGGGCATTTTGCAGTATGAATATTTTTATGTTAACTTCGATACCTTTTTACACTTATCTAATTAACAATTAATATGTGAAATTTTGAGTTCAAGACTTCTAGTAGTATTTGTAATTGTGTATTACTTTGTTAAACTTTAAGTTTCTGAATACTTCTTACAACAATGAGCAATGACATCATGTGCACACCCCTTTTGTGGAAGCATATTGCTGTCACGACAAAAAGAGAAAAATAGATTATCATGTTTTGGCGTGAAAAAATTGTATTTTCACGTTTACAACATACAAACGTATCACAAAAAACTTTCCTTTGTGTGAAACATTTAACATTATAAATATAGAAGTGATTATGATATCACACAAAAATATTTTAAACATAACAAGATAAACATATTGTTAATAATAAAAAAGTTTCTTATTATAGTGTGATTAGTGCCTTTCCCTCTTTAAATTTGACTATTTTATTATATAGAAATATTATTAACAAGTAGTTATTGTACTATATTTTATCTGGCAGATTTTCCTGGGGATGCCCCTCTGTTTTTGTTGATGAATGAAAGACCCTGCGGGTGGCAGATGTCAAGCGAGGCTCATTTTACACTCAGTCTCATGTTTACTGGGACCAGCAGGCCAACAGCAGCTGATCTAAATACGGCCAGTGAACCAGGATGTTTACCTGGAGCCCACCACAGCTACATCGAGGAGTGGAAAGAATCCAACAGTGCCCTTCTCCTTATCTCATACAAACAAAAGGCTGATAAACTCTCCATAGCAACATCAAGAGCAACTGCAACTATACAGTACAGCACAGTGGTGATAGGGACATTGTGTACATGTAAGTGTGTACTGCAGCTCTTAATAACATTTATATAATCCCCTTTTTACATAAGGTGGGCAATATGTACTAATACAAATAGAACAAATGGAACAAAGGTTCAAGTCAAATCGTTCACATTTATGTAAAATAATAACATTAAATAGAGCGTTTCCCAACCAGGCATACTGACCCCAGGAGAAACTTCTGTAGGTGGCAGGTGGTATGTGGAAGGATAGTTGAGTAGGTCAACAAATAAAAATATTTAAATAATGATTCAAATAAAAAGACATATGGAAAAAATGAGTCACCTCTAATGCCTAAACTACATTTCAATGTGCATTGTTAGCATTCATAGATAAATAAATAAATGAAAAATAAAGTTGTCACATTAAGCTAAAAGTAATGGATGCATGGTTGACTCAGATAAAGTAATGGATGATATTTGAAATAGTTAGCTAAAAGTAACTGTAAAATGGGGAAAAAGTTTGAACAGTTTGATACAGTTATAGCTAACATTAGCCAAAAGTAGGCTAATGCATAATGGCAGACACAGATAAAGTAATGGAGAAGAGATAGCTAAAAGGAGACTCATACAATTAAATGATTAAAAAGTTAGCTAAAAGTAATTCTAAAAACTTAAAATTTAGTTAGAAGTAATGGAAGTAATATTATAATACAGTAGTTATAGCTAACGTTAGCTAAAAGTAATGCATTTGTCACAGTTTTGTTTTCCTGGTCACGTGCTCTTATCTGCATGACCAGTCAACCAGTCCTCATTTACTAATTTCCCATTCACTATGGTTTCCCGGGCCTCCCTATCCCCTGTCGACACATATGCCGCTCCTGCCTGTCCACCACACGCCCACCTCATCAAGGCAACTCAGTTCACCTGTTCCTAATTACACACAGTCAGTGACATTATATATACCCCAGCCTCACAGACACTCATCGCCAGTTTGTTCTTTGCCACTGAAGACACTCAAGCACTTTATTCCAGACTGATTTCCCATTGCTGACCCTGTCTGCTTTGTCTGATTCCTGGTAAATGCCTCAGCCTTCTGTCCCTGACCACAAGACCTGCCTCCATGTCTTTGTTTCCTGTTTGCCTGTGGCTGCTTGGAGTTTCCATCCAGTGACACCACAGTCTGAGTGTTCCAGTCAGCTTACTTGCGGTTTCTTGTGGTCCAGAGATTTTCACCGTGTCACCACACTTGCCATTGCTGTGAGTACGTACTTACCAATGGGTAGTTACCTGCTGGCCTCTCGACCCTCCACCTGACCTCGACCTGTCTTCTGCCTGTTTCTGTTTTCTGTTTCCTCATCTACATCACCTGCCTGCTCCTACTCGGTACCATGCCTTTCATTGAACTGAGCTGTGTTTGTTGTTGTGATACCGCTCCTGCTCACTTGTCTGCCTCTTGGCCCAGTTTGGCCTGCCAAACCAGCCGGGCTGCCAAAGAGTCAGTGGAGAGACTTTGCTGGAGTGTTGAACTGAACTGTATGCTGTTCAGTGGCTCTGCTCTGTTGTATCTGCTGAGTAATGACTGTAAACATCATTACTAACTGTTCTCTGTTGTGCTGTTTTCGGGCCCTAACAAGGCTTGCTAAAAAATGGCTAAATGAGACTACAGAACGTCATCACGCCGAACACAGCTTTACAGTCTTGTGGTGGCAATGTAAATTATTATGTAAGTACCATAAGCTTTTGTTTGCCACAGATCTTATTTTCTGCAATAATTCAAAATAGGAAAATCCCACTGGCTTACTGACGAGGGAATGGGAACTGCCCATTGGTTCGACAGCCCATTGGTTCGACATCCCATTGTTCCGACCATATTAAACTCATTGTTCCGAAGTCCGTTCTGAAATCATCATGATGCCCTGTGGTTAAGGTCTGGTTAGGTTTAGGCACAAAAACCACTTGGTTAGGGTCAGGAAAAGATCATGGTGTGGGTTAAAATGAAAAAGAAAGTGACAAACACATAAGCCGTGAGCCTGCTCCGCCTCAAGCCGGTCGCGGCGCACCATACGCCTGCCGGGAGCCATTTAGCACCACGGACAGTCGGACTAATGGGATGTTGAACCAATGGGCTGTCGAACCAATGACATGGACCCGAGGGAAAAAGGGCAGCACTAACCTCCGTGTTGGCCTACAAAAAAAAAAAAAAAACAGAACAGATAGCCAAAGCAGACTAATAAAAATAATAAGATGGTTAAATAGTTAGCTAAAAGTAATGGATAAACTGTTGGTTTAGTTAGCTAAACTAAAAGTAATGGATAAACTGTCGGTAGGGTTAGCTAAAAGTAATGGATAAAGTGTTGGTATAGTTAGCTGAAAGTAATGGATAAACTGTTGGTATAGTTAGCTAAAAGTAATGGATAAACTGTTGGTATAGTTAGCTAAAAATAATGAAATAAATTGTTAGTGTAGTTAGCTAAAGGTAATCAAATTAATTGTTAAAATATAGCTAAAAGTAATGGATAAACTGTCGGTAGGGTTAGCTAAAAGTAATGGATAAAGTGTTGGTATAGTTAGCTGAAAGTAATGGATAAACTGTTGGTATAGTTAGCTAAAAGTAATGGATAAACTGTTGGTATAGTTAGCTAAAAATAATGAAATAAATTGTTAGTGTAGTTAGCTAAAGGTAATCAAATTAATTGTTAAAATTAGCTAGTAATTAGTAATATAGTAGTAATAAGTAATGGATATACTGCTGGTATAGTTAGCTAAAGGTAATGGATAATGGAAGATAAGGTAGGGTACGGATAATGATAATGGGTAATTAAAATATACGAGTTAAGCTACTGTAGCTAGCAATGAGTAATAAACTCTAGAAATACTTAGCTAAACAGTTGAAATAACTAAAAGCAATAAATGGCCTAAATATTTAAATTGTTAGCTAAAACTATTTCAGTCATTCCTCTGCCACTCCAGGCAGACTTAAGTAGTACAAATGGAAACTTGACCAACTGACAGTTGATTTGTATGAAATAACATCCAGTTTAAAATCAGTTTAAATGAACACATGTGGGATGGGTGATGTCGATGATCATCTGCAAGGGTCTGTGGGGGATGTGGGACAACAACAAATTGGAAAACAACTAAAATACAACAGAATACATGTAGTCCACACTGAGGACTAACAACCTGGCTCTGCATAGTGAAATCCCTCAGTGACCTGTGGCCTAGTGCCCTGCTACTGATACTAACCACCACAACCTGCCAACACAGACGCTGCCAACAGAGACCACACTGCCATGCCAAGTATTCATTAAGAGTTAGTATAGAGTGGAAACTTAGAAACTCTGGTTGCTTTGTCATTAGACTTTTCATGATGTGCTGCAGGTGTCTGAAATGAAGCATGTGTTGTACTCTTGGAGTTTTCCTCTGCTCCAATTTCTGTCAGTCTACCTGTCACGAAATCTGCACTGAAGCTCTGAAGAACCATCCTATTCTCTTTCAAAGTAAAAAACAGTCATTATAATGATGGGGTAATGGTGCTCAGGTTGGCTCACTGCTGTTCCCTTCGAGTGGTCTGTTTGGTAGAAACGTCCACTTCTTGGGTTAATTAGTTTGCGCACAAGCAGTGTAAGCAGTGAAACTTCCAAATAAGCAGAATTTCCTGTATATGAGGTTTTTATGAGGGGCTGATGTGAGGGAAAGAAAGGTTGGAAAACTACTCTCAGAGTTCTGTCTTGCCTCCATTTGCAAAATATTTTTTGCCTCTAATTTGAAAGACATAGTGCACATGTTTTAGCAATGGATTCACTCTGCACTTGTTCAATATTATAGCATAATTTCGACAATAGAATCTGTTCAGCATGAGTTGCGTCTCTCTCATGAATGCTGGTTGGACTGTTTTCACACTTCATCAATCTGTGGACGGTTTGTAGTAACTGTACTGACAAAAGAACAACTTTTACACTTTAACCACTCCGCTCTGACCATACAGACTGAAAATGTGCCAACGTCGCACTAATTTCTTGTCTACATTTACAACAAGTCTGTGAAAAGTAGCACCTAAACTGAGTGGGAAAGATGCTGTTAAACTTAAGTCTGTAAAATCCCCGTGTTTGTGCTTGTACTCTGTCGCCTACTGATGAGTAGGCTGTATCAGGGTGTTCAAGGACAGTGGTTGAGTTTCTCATGCTGATATAATAGTACTTTGAGCAGTTGTGTTGTTATGAGTGAACTATACACTTATATAATTATATCCTAGGAAGATCTCCAGTATCTAATGAGGCTTGTCAGACATATTTAATATGATTTGTCACGTTAATGATTTATTATTCTCTCAGCTCTTATAGCTCCTCTCTCCTGCCAACCGCTGACTGCATAGTTCAAGGTACATTTACATTTATTATACTGTCTTAATATCACATATACTACTTGTATTTTCTACCTCTTCTAATGAAAACTGTTTTTTTACAGTATATTTTTTTATCTAATGTTAATGTTCATGTGTGTTAAGTGATTGATGAGCCTGAATTAAACCTTTAACTTTGCTTCACAACTGTCAGAATATGGTGCAGATGATCCAAATTATGATTTTATTTAAATACAAAAGCAAGGCACAACCACATAAAATTACACCTTAATGAATTTGGACAAAGTTAAAATAAAGAGACACAATATAATGCTAAAAAAATAAGCAGTAACAGGTTTTTTTGCTCTTAAAAATAATCATTGTATTTTTACACCTGCATATGCTACCAGTAATTAAACTGTGTAATATTCTTTACAGCTAATAGGGGAGAGCGGGGTTGGGTGAGACAGGGGGACAGTTGAGACAGTAGCCAGTTAGAAAGCAAATATGCCGAACCATTTATTATGCCTACATGTAACCCACCCTCTTGACTTTTGACCCTAAAGTGGAAACCTTATGACTGTTTCTTAAATTTTATTCACGGTTTTGAAATTTGAAGCATGTAAATAAATTTTTATTGCATAAATTTATATAGGCCTACTTTTCAACCCCTGATCGTAAACTGAATGTTCAGAGATGAACTATTTAACTTGTTTAACTGTCAAGTTGTTGTTACTGACTTTTTCAAATTGCGACAAAGTCATTAGCCCACATTAAGCTTTAGGCTACATGTAACCTATAGTAACCAAACTGAGCTGATGGGTGCCACTGAAAATAGCGTAAAACTTAAATTTGCTACTATATGCTTAAATCACTGAAATTAATAGGCTTATATTTGGGACAGACCTTTAATTCCTCACAAGATCAGAAACATAATCAAATTGTCTATTTAAAGCAGTATAAATATTACTTGGCTTCAGATTACATATCAGTTATGAATCATTCATTTGATCTAGCTCTGACAAACAGAGCATCGTAGAGCGTTATGGCACTTAAGGATTACGGCACCCAACATACCGACACAACACTACTTTATCCTGTAAAAACAATCCTCACAATTTGGATTAATTTTTATGAAAAACCCTTTTGAATCTTTTGATCCAAGGATTTGTACAGACTAATGGAACATGAATAACTTACAGGGTAATCGAGGAATGGACACGAGATTTGAGGTAGCCAATAACCTGCTTTAATAAATCCAAAGAACTTCTATTAAAAAAAAAGAGAGAGAAATACTGTCGTCTTCTTATCTTAGTATATAATGACAAAAACTTTGTCTGTGTGTGTGTGTGTGTGTGTGTGTGTGTGTGTGTGTGTGTCTGTTCCACGTTTTTCTCCTCACTGACTTGGTCAATCCATGTGAAATTTGGCACAGTGGTAGAGGGTCATGGGAGGATGCCAATGAAGCAATATTACATCAATTGGCCAAAGGGGGGCGCTATAGCAACCGATTGAAATTGCAAACTTTGAATGGGCATATCTCATGCCCTGTATGTCGTAGAGACATGAAACTTTGCACAGAGATGCCTCTCCTCATGAGGAACACATTTGCCTCAAGAACCCATAACTTCCGCTTATATAGATTTTCCGCCATTTTGAATTTTTTGAAAAACACTTCAAATGGATCTCTTCCTAGGAAGTTTGAGCGATCTGCATGAAACTGGGTGAACATAATCTAGGGACCAATATCTAAAGTTCCCTCTTGGCAAAAGTTGGAAAACTTACTAAAACTGAGCTTCTATAAGGCAATGAATATTGCGGAGGGCGTGGCTCATCACATAAAGGTGTATAACATCTCAAGGGTTTCACCCATCACCACGCAACTTTGTAGGCATATGAACACACATAATCTGAGGGGACCCCTCCATTATTGACCCCATCAAACAAAATGGGGGCGCTAGAGAGCTCATTTCTTATCTAGGCCTAACCGCCATATGGATTTTTACTAAACATGGTAGATATGTAGAACAGGATGCCTCAAGGTGACTGGAGAATTTAACTCCAATTGGCAACTGGGTGGCGCTATAACAACAGAAAAATGCTTAAAAATGGCTAAAATGTGACCGATCGCTGTGGCTCCCCCTGTGGACCAATGTTGAGGTTTTTTTTCTAATTTTTGGTATGACTAAGTCATGGTAGAAGTGTCCTAACCATCCTGGGGAGGCAGAATTTTGAGAAAATGTATTGCTTATCATTTTGCTTTTTTAAAAACGTTATTCCTTTCACATTTGGGTTAGGCTCTAAAAAACTGAACAGCAGACACTCTTCCATTATTATTTAAGCAGTCTGTGAGAAATGGGAGGTTATTTCATGAGGATACAAAAATGTCCCAACTGACCCCGCTCTCCCCTATTATCATTTAATTGTTACTTTTCTTGCATTTATATTTAACACACAGATTTTGTGGCAGGATGAATATGTTTGTACTTATTTCTTACCCTTATAGTTCGTCATATATTGCAGCATAATGCACAAACTTTTTGAAAATACTTCTTATTTTTGTTTAATTTCTTTATGATTGAATATGATTGCAACTGTTTTTTCTGATTCTGATTATATAACCCAGCAGAACTCATTAGTCTCAATATAGGCCTACCATGTGCATATATACATTTGATCCAAAGCAGTGGCAAGCATAATTGAGATAACTACTTATATTAATTAGATGAAATGTGTTCCCTTCATAAACAGCACATGTTTACTGCACAATTCTGTATAATTCTGACTTTACTTTCTTCTTTATAACTACACTATCTAATGTGATGCTGTTCTAATTAACAAATCTAACTAGAATCTACTTTTTTCTCCGAACAGTAAAAATATGAACTTCTCTGCTGATATGATTCAGACTCCATGCCCAGTAATTGTGATCTGTTTGCATCTGTGCATTAACTGCATGTTCCTCTAAACAACGCAGACGTTAAAACAGTGATTCCATGTGATTATAAAATGAGTAAGCGAGAAACCATTTTTACATAACTATTGTGCAACTGTTGTTGTCCCCAGATGGTTGTCTTAGCCGTGGCTGTGTCTGTGGCGCCGTCATCATGTGCACTTGGCTGCATGGGGAGCACAGATTCTGTGAGTACGAGCTTTGTTCACGGATGTTGCGAGGCTCGAAGGCAGATGGAACTTAAAATTCATACATTATGCAACAAAAGTTTTCCCCTTTTCCCAGATGTTGTTCGGCACAGACAGATCTGCGCTGTGCTTTTGTCACACTGAAGAGAATAGAACATTACGTTATATTAAAGCCAATTACTTACAAAGTCGTGTGACAGACTCAAGTTTTGTTTGACATGTAGTTCCATTTACAGACTGAGATGAAGGTGTGGAGCGTGGGAGATACTACTGTAGCTGCTGTGTTCAAGGTGATTGGACATACTGTACCTGTTATCTAATCCAGTTAGTTATTCCATAGAAAATTAATCCGCTGTTTTGATCATGGGTTAATTGGTTCAGGTAATTTTCAAGGACTTATACCAAACATTCTTTTGCTTCAGCTCTAATAGAGTTGCTGCTTTCTTTGTCTTATGTGTCCAGAAAGTTAATATTTTGGGGTTTGGGCCTGCTGTAGCTGCAGCTGTTTCTGTAACATTACATGCAAAATTAAGTGACGAATGCTTTGCAAAATGTCATTTCTCATATGAAGCACATCAGGCCTTCACCCTCACAACACCTCTGTCCATGGCTGTAGCCAAAATTTTAGAAGTCAAAGAGACCTAAAGAGTCCAAATTCCCCCCAGTGCAACCCCACCAACTAAAGAAATGTTTGACTAGCCATTAAAAAAATTCTGTCCTGTCTGTCTTCCCGACTGATGTAACTGCTTGCATAACATCTCCCCGCGTTTGACTGTGCAGGACAGGTAACATTATGTTTAGTTTGCTTCTAATATAACATATAACGATATATGACAACACAGCATCCAGTTGCTAATAGCTAACATTAGCCTACTGTAGCATAGCCTCTGAAACATTAATGTTATCTTCCTTGTGCGTTTCCACTTATTAGTAACGTTAACGCTACTATCTAACGTTAGCACTTTAAACTCCAGGATTGCATTTGACTGTCTTGATTGTAACGTTACACTCACTCTCCTCTTCCGTGTATCTAACGTTACCTTGCCAACGGCTGCATCTATCATAGACGTAATGAGGAGGTAAAGGAGGAGGGGGGAGTAGGCCTTTGGAGGGAGGTGGAGTTGCAGGAGGAGGGGGATGGGGCTTTGGAGGGAGGCGGGAGTTGTGAATGTTCAAATTGTGAAATGTGCTGTGTGAAATGCAAGAAAGGTAAGAGTAGCTTTAAAAGGGTTTGTTCAGATTCACCAAAGTCACACAATACTACAAACAAACTGACTGAGGTAGAGGTAGACCAGCAGCTCCTGTGTTCAGCAAGCTAAAATTACTGTTTTTGTCAATGGAGTCTGGTGTCTGTGACAAGAGCATAGATGGGGAACTGAACCTGCAAACAGTTTCCCCGTCAGAACAGGCTGTCTGATGGAAAGGTCTGCTCTGGACTTGACAAAAGCTGCAACATCTGACAGTATCATTCTGTTAAAAGTTTAATGAATCTGCAATAATTTAATGGCTTATTAACTGAAGTTACAACATTTCAATCTTTACTAAAAAACTGCACACTCTGCTGTATTGCAGGAGATGGAGAGTCTAAGGTGTGAACAAACAACACTTCAGCAGCAGCAGCAGCAGAACGCTCTGACTCAGGTAGCCTCTATATAAATTACTTACAGTCTGTCTCTGTGCTGCACATCAGCTACTGAATGTGTAATTTCCTTCATTCACAGATGCACATCAGAAGCTCAGAAGAAGGTCAGTCAGTCAGTCAGTCAGTCAAAAAAATAACTTTCTGTTTAACATAAAGTAGAATGATTTACAACAATCACTCTCAATTCTTTATGGGCTGAGACCTGCTGTGCTCTGTAGACCAAATTCTGGCTGAGTAACAGTCAATAAAATATAAACTGGTGGAAAATCTTTCCTGTCAAGCTGGAACAAACATATCTATGGAGGAAGACAACCCGCATTTCTCAGACAAAGAGTCAAGTAGACAGGGGGACCCCTGCCTCCAGCTGGATTTTCTATATAGCTGTATTTACTTGAATGATAATGACAGTTGTGGTTAGGATGGCATCACTTTTTCTACCATGAAAAACGTCTCACAATACGATAAGATATGATGTAATACGATATGATACGATGCAATACGATGCGATACGATACGATACGATACAATATGATATGATACGATGCAATATGATACAATACAATACGACATAGTGAAACACAATACAATACAATGTGATGCGATGCGATGCGATACGATACGATACAATGCAATACGATATGATATGATGCAATACGATATGATATGATACAATACGATATGATACGATGCAATACGATATGATGTGATGTGATGTGCTATAATACGATACGATACAATACAATACAATACGATACGATACAATACAATACGACACAGTACAACACAATACTATACAATGCGATACGATATGATGTGAAACGATACGATGCAATACGATATGATACAATATGATACGATACAATACGATGCGATACGATACGATACAGTATGATACGATACAATACGGTATGATGCAATACGATATGATATGATATGATACAATACGATACGATATGATACGATACAAAACGATACGATGTGAAACGATACGATGCGATGCGATACGATACAGTACGATACGATACAATACGTTATGATATGATGCAATTCGATATGATATGATACAATACAATACTATATGATACGATGCAATATGATGCGATACAATACGATACGATACGATACAATACGATACAATACAATACGATACAATACAATACGATACGATGCAATACGATGCAATACGGTACGATACAAAACGATATGATACAATACAATACCATATGATACGATGCAATACGATACGATACGATACAATATGATACGATACAATGTGGTACAATACGATACAATACAATACAATACGATATGATATGACACAGTATGATGCGATACAAAACGAAACAATATGATACGGTGCGATACGATACGATGTGGTACAATACGATACGATACGATACAACATGGTTCATTGTCTCGGTAGGGAAATTTTGCCATAATCAAAGCAAAAATGCCTGAGAGGTGCGTACTTGTGAGCAAATGTGGCCCCTACTCCCCACTGTAGCTGACAGGGCCTCACCTGAACAAAGTCATCGTCACTTGCAGGGTGTGTTGCCACTAGAAGAAGAACTGCTGCAAGTTTCTATCCACCCCCACCCAGGCCTACTATATCATCTTGTTATCTGGCTTACTGTGTAGCTCTTAAATAAGCATTGTTTCATTCCCAAGCTGTACGTTTTCTTTGCATTGCTCGTCTCTCTGCAGCTTTGGTGTGAGGTTAAGGGCCATGATGATGCTGTGGGTCTATTCTCAGATATCAACACACTTGTATGTGGGCGGTGCAGAAGAAACAAGTCCTGTGTGAGCCCAGATAAGATCAACTGGAGGTGTAAAGGAATGAAAAGCTCTTCTCAGATTCTTGCTTCTTCTTATTATGAGATCATGACTTCAAATGTCTCTTTTTGCCAGGAGATCCAGAAGATCTACACAAACATACTGAATGCATTTTCTTTGGATCCTATGGAGATTATAGTGGGAGAAAAATAAAAGACTCTCCATCAAAAAGGCAGATTAACATATAATAAAGCGACCTTGTTTTTTAAAGTCAAATCACAAGCCTCCTTTAACCTGAATCATTTTAATGTAATCTCTAATGTGCCATGCCTCTGATAAATATATGAATACAAATACAAAAGAGCTTCATCTCTCCTCACCATTGAACATTTTGGTTATTTTAAAGAAATATTTATATTTATATTTATATTTATCGATATATGTTTTAATTTGTCTGGAATCATCTGCAACAAGTGCAACAATTGTAGGTGGGATGATTAAAGGCATATTCCAGCCACTGAGTGCTGTACTTCCATAAAGTTTGAGGACTTGGTAATTTATAAGATTTATCCAACAGCTGTCACAGGAAAAAATGTTTTGAATCATGACCCTTGTGTTGGAGCTCGATGTTGTTTGCTCCCTTTTTATAATTAGGGTCCGGGCAGGCGGTCCTGCCAGGACACTCTTATTTTCCCTGCTCCTTCTTTTTCTTCTTCTTCTTCTTCTTCTTCTTCTTCTTCTGAGGAAATCCTACTTCCCATGCGCAAAAAATCACCAAACTTTGCACAAAGGTCCAGCCCTATGCCAGATTTGTTCAGCTGCAAACACAAGTCAATAGTCCTGATGGTGGCGCTACAGCAAGCGTCTAAAGTTCAAAACTTTGAAAATTTACAACAAATCAACTGCATGTGCTACAGCTTCACAACTTTCACCAAAATGTAGTGCCAATACTGAAAAAACTTTTGTACATTTAAACCTATTGCAAATTATGAAGTCCACCACTCTGTTTTTTTCAAAATCTGTAAAACGTCTTAAACCTATCTCCTCCCACAATTTTTGATCAATTGACACCAAACTTGCTACAGAGCATCTTCAGACTGTCCTCCACAAACTGTCCTCACAGATTTTTGATTTATCAAAAATTGAGCCTACAGTGCATCAAGACGTTTGACTGTAAACAGTACTGTAAACATATACTTGCAAATTCTTGCTAAATAAGTTTTCAATGTTCATGAAAAAAATAAAAATTTTGGAGTCATGGTAGATGATGTTTGGAAAATATCAGAATTTTATATCAAAAACTGAATTTTTGACAGCATTTTGAATTCTGCCCTCATGTGAACCATTGCTGTCAATGGGAATAGAGCATCTTTACACATCAGTTTTTCACTTATGTAGTAGATCAATCATTGTTAAAAACAAATTAACAACATCTCCATGCTGTCTAGATGCAAGATGTGTATTTTCAGATTTTTGTCTTGATAACTGAATTTATGACGGCAGTTTGAAATCTGCCTTGACAGCTGCTGTCATCCTGGTGGCTGGCTTAGTCAATTTGTGAAGCCACAAAAAGGTTGTCATTTGCTAATTAGCTCAGTTAGATAGAAAATGCTTCTTGGTGTCAGAGGTTGACAGTTCAGGCCTCAACTGATGCAGAATGTACATTGTAATGGCAACTTTCTTGTTGTCTTCCTATACTGCCTCTTGTTGCTCAGAATTGCCTAAAATTGTCCGGCCCAACCATTGCAGCGCAGCAACTATAATTCAGATTTTGTTTTTTGTTAGGGTGGTACATGACGGTTCTAGATGTCAAATGACACATTCAATCTTGACTAACAAAAATAATACAAACAGGATTATAGAGATCTGTACAAGAGGGGGCACAGTACCAGTCTCAATCCACCAAAAAAAGAGTCAAAATAATAAGATTAAATTTGAATAAATAAATACATTAAAATTGACAGTGTGCCCTGAAAGATAGGCTTCAACAATTTAATAAAATCTGGAAACCCTTCATATCTTATCTTGCAACTGCAAATCTATCACAACAGTGCAGCCCCAGCACACGATAGGTCTCTGTGGGTGAAGGGTGGTGAGAGGACTGGAGAAGTGATGTAGGTATGGGAGGGCAGCCCTGCGACTTTGGGAGCAACGGTCACTTTGTTCGTATTATGGTTATTTGTTTTTTACATTTTTCATTTACTATTTTATGTTGATGTACTTGGAATAATTTTACTACCTCATTTGATTTTAACACTGTGCCTACTACAATATTTGATCCCTTTTTGATCTCAGGATATTGTGCACAACTGTTAAATTCAAGAAAATGAACCTGAAATCAATAAAAAATATTAATATATATTTTTATGTAATTTTATGTATTTAAATCTCCCCCTAGCCTATTTTATTTTGTTATTAATTTTACGCACGTCATGTTGTATGTCTATGCTTTTGTATGTCCTTCTAATGTTCTAGAAAAGGCACTTGCCTGTGTTCTCCACACGGTGGCGCACTAACATCAGTGTAAGCCTGGTGGATAACCAGTGGCAGTGTGTTCCTTGTGTTCAGCTCCTGAAACAAGAGGCCTCATCCAGAGAGAACAGGGGGCACATCAGAGGAGCTGACAGTCAGTTTATTTATGACAGGTCAGAGTCAGAGGGTCGTTTATATATATGTATATAGATATACTGTATGTAGCCATAACTTTCATTCATATCCCACTGAGGAAATGATGATGAGCTCTAATGTTTCCTTTTATGGTAACACAGGGCATCATAAAAGTCAGGCCCAAACATTAAGTGTTTTTCTGCGAGTGTTTTACAACTTAGAGGTGGCCCCGTCATCGTGGAAATATGTATCAGAAACAGAGGAGCTGTGGTCTTCCCAAGTATTTGACCAGTCTGACCAACACCTCTCCACAGGGCGGGGGGCGGGGCCAGGGAGAGGCGGCCTCACTCTGATTGGCGGACGCTCGGTCGGGACGACAGGGGAGAAACTCCAGGAAAACTGACGGAGCTCGCGCACGATGTAACGGGAAGGGTACATTTTTGCGTAAAGGGGAAACTTTGTATGGACATGAGGATAATTGGGGACAACTCGCCATTTGTAACAGAAAAGCTGGACTTGTGAGGAAAAAACGTCATCTTTTAATCACCATTTAAACCTACAGGGTGTTTTTAAACCGCTTCTCGCTCTTAATTAAATATGAAATGAGAGTTTGACGGATGAAAATGCGCGTGGACCCCACAGCTGTGCACTGAGGAGAGGAGGTGCTCAGAGAAGCCCGCCAATGCTCACCTTTGGTCGGCACTTCAAAGCAACTTGTTGAAACATTCATCCGCGAGCGTCAGTGAGAGGAAAGGTAGCAGCATGGCTGAGCACGAGAGCCTGGAGTATGGGAAGGCAGATTTTGTGCTGTTGGACAACGTGTCTATGGAGGAGTTCATGGCGAACCTGAAACTCAGGTAGGCGGTCATTCACCTTTGTAATTCCTGAGAAACGTGTGTCGTCAGGTGCCAGGACAAACTCAGTGTCTTTTTTGCATCATTTAAACCGGAAATGTGTCCACGGTGTCACTTTTAGCCCCTCAACAGGTGCGACCAGCATCATTCAGAGTTTAGTTTTCTCTTGTACTGGACTGCACTGGCCCCCACTTGAAATATATGAATGAAAACAAGTTGCCAAACAGCCCAGCATGGCATTCCTGCCAACTGGCACTGCACCTACAACATTACTATAAGTCAATTGTATCCAAGTTGTTGGGGTGGCACTGCATTCATTTGATGCCTTCTTTCGATCAAACCGGTAAGTCCCATTGAAAAAATGCTGTGTGAGACTCCACCCAAGCCACACACACACACGCACACACGCACACACACTGTGCCTACTGCAGACCGGTTTCTATCAGCTGTGTTGTCAGTGGCTCTGTGTCAAGCATGATGTCAAGCATGCTTTGTGAATGAAGAGAGAGCAGTTGTGGGTTCACATCACGTTTCAGACGGGCTGTGGCTTGGAGTCAGTTTCACCATCTCCTCTCCTCACCTCTGCCATCTGTAACGAAAGTGCAAACTGATCCCTGACCCCCAGAGTTGGACCTTTTAGTGCTCTGCATGCAGGACATAGTGCTGGTGGTTGTGGACAGTCATGGTACAGTAGAGGGGAAAGGGACATCATAGGTGAAGCTTTCTGCTCCTTTGCAGTGAGAGAAAGTTGTTGTGACAGCTCAGTGGAAGGTGACAGAGCAGTGGTATAGTATCTGATAACACAAGAGTAAGTTATGGTGTGATAGTAACACCGTTAAAGTAAGCTGTTGTCCAAGTTTGAAGGAAAGTTATCTGAAAATGACCTGCCAAAACCATATTTGAAGGGCAATTATGCATAGAAAAAAAATGTCTGTGGAAATGAAGTACCATTTTTCTCTCTGTGGTATCTGATGACTTAATGGTGAAGTGGCTCGACCCCAAAACTGAAATATTCCAGTCAACCAATGATTACAAATCGGAATGGCTGTTTAAGCTGGATAACTTTGTCTCAAAAATGTGGTGAAAAATGCACAAGGAACATTGTCATTTCTTTGATGTATCTAGGTTACACTTACGTCTTATCGGTAATCTAGAAGAATCACCTTTATTGGTCCCCGGGGGGGGGGGGGATTGCCTTTCAGTTACATCCCGTCCAAGAAACATAAAAAAAGACAGTGACACATAACAGGGGAGGACAGGAGTGGGAGAACTGTGGGTTGCCATATGAGCAGCGCCCCGTTTATTTAGATGAAAAAAAAAGGAGAACAAGAGGGAGGAAGAGGGGAAAAAAAAAAAAGCAACTCCCAAACTAGGCTCCTGTAGGGGGGCACAGTGTGGGGTTAGGAAAAAAAAAACACCTCAGCACATAAGCAACATAATAAGACATTACAACAAAACTCGAAGACTGTGTGTCGCAGCACATTTGGGCGCATCGCATCACCCTCCCATGCTACACTGCAACGAAGGGAGGGGGGGGGGAGCCAAGAAGGCGTTGAGTTGGAGGGGGTGTGCGTGTTATATGTGTCTTCATGTGTGTGTATGTGTAAGTCCATGTACTTCATCTCCACTCAGTCCCAACCCATTGTCTCTTGCCGTCTGATAACTGATGACGAAGACACGCCCATTGCCGTGGAGACGACCTCGGAGAGTTCTGATCCAGAAACAAAGTTCACAGGAGGAGGGGGTGGTGGGGGGGAGATAGGGCCGGAGCATCTTGTCTGCATAACATCCAGGAGAGTGGAGAGGTAACCGGCCTTGGGAGAGCTGGTTATCTCGGGGAGCCAATGAAGGTAACAGTTGTTTTGGGTCAGGCCGACACTGCAATTTTTTCATCTGCCTTTGAGTCTCTCTGAGTCTCCCGGTGGCTTGCTTCCAATATGTCCGAATTGGTGGCCAGTTTCAGCCGAGCCGAGCTGACAACTTCTCCAAGTTGGCATCCATCTTGCGAAGGAGTTCAGGAATCGCATCCAGCTTGCGATTGAACTCACATATCGCTTGAGTCTGAGTGTTGACAGCCCTGCACATTCCCTCAGTCATGACGGGCAGCTTCTCGATTGCCAAAAGTGCTGCCAACGTCTTCTGAACTTTGCGATAGATCAGGAAGCTGCTAACTCCAAACAGCAGAATGCCTGTTATCATAATTCAAATTATGTAGACGTCTTCAACATCCTCAACGGAAAGGATCGACAGGCACACGATCCTCCACTTCTCCCAGGAGTCCATCGTGTATCCGGCTGCAAATGTTACGTCAGGGCAGGCGGGCTCTCCTTTACCCAGTCTCTTTGTCGAGAAAATTTGGTCGATTGCGTTGAGAGACCAGCTAATCAAATCTATTAGGTTTCGGTTATCTATAAGATAAGATGAGACCTCATTGATAAGATCAGACTTTATTGATGCTGTCACAACTATGAGAACCAGTTTGAAGAGACAGGAACCTGATAAGGAGCTGTTTAAAGTAATCCACACAACAGAATAAAAAGAAGTAGGTAAATTACATTCAAAAGCTGCACCAATAAGCCAAAACATTAAAACCACTGACAGGTGATGTGAATAATATTGATCATCATGTTACAATCCAATGTTCTGCTGGGAAGTCTTGGGTCCTGGTATTCGTGTGGATGCCACTTGACACACATCACCCATCCAAACACGATTAAAGACCCCCCTCATAGAAACGGCACTCCCTGATGGCAATGGCCCAAGGAACATGACGAAGACCTTAAGACGTTGGCCTAGCATTCAAATTCTCCAGATTGCAATTTGATCGAGCATCCGTGGGGCATGCTGGTACTCCATCTTGCAACCCTAAGGACTCAAAGGATGTGCTGCCAACAGCCTGATGCCAGGCACCACAGGACACCCCCCTGACGTCCTGTCTGTGCCTTGACTCTCGAGAAGTCAGAGGCTTTACCATGGATCGGACTTGGCTCTGACCTGTCAAGGCATGGACACAGGATGCTCAATCAGGTTGGGACCTGGGGACCTTGGAGGCCAGGTTGGTACCTGGAGCTCTTTGCCCCATTCTTCAGGTAATGCCTGAGCAGTACCAGTTTATGGTATGGCCTCTGGCTTTTCGAGTGTCAAGGCATGGACACAAGACATCTGGGGGGTGTCCTTTGGTGTCTGGCACCAGGGTGTTGGCAGCAGATCCTTTGAGTTCTTTGGGTTGCGAGGTGGGGTACCAGCTTGGCTAGGCCAGGTTGATGCCTTGAGCTCTTTGTCACATTCCTTTGGCCATTTGTGGTGCGTTGTCCTGTTGGCGGGGCACTGCCATCGTGGAGTACGACAAGTTGCATCCACATGAATGCCAGGTACTCAAGGTTTCCCAACAGAACATTACATTATGACGAGATAAACAGTCATTCATTTCACCTGTCAGTGGTTTTAATGGTGTGGCTGATAGGTGTATACATCACAGCACCAAGGTGATATACACAACATGACTTGAGCATTACGTAGAAAGCTTTGCAAATATACTGTAAACATGCAGAAGTAAATAGTCTGGTAGTGATAAGAATTTTGTTGGAGACGTGAAGGTCTAAGAATTTTTTTATGCCGGTCGTTCTTTCTGTTTTAATTTGCTGTGTTTTGTCAGCCCATGGAGGCTACTGTAGTTGTATACATGACACCTCCTCATCATCAGCTCACTTGGTATAGTTTCTCAGTGCTGCCCACACTTGTGGTTGATAAAGTAAATTTTCAAGCCAGTCCCAGTACAGTATTTAGACACACTTCCAGCAGTGACTTGTAGAGTAAATATTTGGAGAGTTTTATGGATGCAGCTTTCTCTTGTTGGCGAGTAGACTGCATGGTTTCCCTTCTATGGCCAAGTGAGCTTCAGTTAGTTACTTACAGTTTATTTACAAGGAGGAGTGTCCTCCGCTGCTCCCCACCAACGTGTTTGGATTCCTTTTCTGCCACTAGTGCGATAAATGATGATAATATTTATCTGCTTGTTAAAAACAAGTGTCACGCACCCCGGTAATTTGAAGTATATTCTTTGCCCCGTTTGTATCTGTTGATAACTTAAAGTCTAATCAGCTGTGCGTCTCTGGCCTTTAGATAGTTAGTGTAAGCATTTTTTAACTTTATTCTGCTTTAGGTGTGTTTGTTAAAGTCTGTTTGCTAATGCTTGAGGTAGAATTCATGCTTGGTAATGTAGAGTCTGGCTCACATGATGTAGACAGTGGATATGAGCCTGTCACTGGCTGCCAATTTCAGATGATATTTACCTCCACATCTGCTCTCTGCACATTAAGGTTTTCAAAATTCCTTTGCTATGTGAATCTAGTCATGCATAGCCAGTCTTATCTGCACATTTTGTTTTACCTCTGTGCGTGAAACAACAACAACAACCTCCGAGCAGGCGGCCTACTCACTGTTAAGTTTTTAATGTTTTATGAGGCATTTTCTTTGCATGCATTTAGACATTTTATTGCCAGAGCTCGGCTCCCCACGTGCGAATGTTCCATCAAAACAAGTTCCCACTATTTTGCAGGGTCTGTATCGTGGGCTCAGCGCCATCCAAGACAGTTGTGTCTGGTTTATAGAAATGCAAACAACCCAAAGCATATTTTTTCCCCTCAGTGTGGAATTATGATGAGTTCAGCCAGACCGTTCTCCAGTGCTGGCACAGTATGAGATAGGTGTGGCTGTGCAAGACGAGGTAGTGCAGAACATTTAGGCATTTTGAAGAGATTAATAATATATTGTCATAAGTCCAAAAGTACTAAACTTTTGATGTTTCCATCTTCTTAAATGGGAGTACAGTACTGTAAATGGAAAATCTTTGTGTTTTGGCCTGTCGGTTGGACAAAAGAAGACATTTTATGATATCACCTTTGAAACTGTGGCCATTTTTCACTTTTCTGATGTTTTTTAGACCAAATAATTAATTGATAAATGGAGAAAATAATCAGCAGATGAATTGATAATGAAAATAA